GGCCCAACCAAGTTCAAACGGGTGATCGGTCAAATTCTCTACCACTGAGCCATGGATCCATTTTGTAGGATTTTAACCTTAGTGACCCCTTAGACATAGTGTCAGTCCAAAAAGTGTAACAAATTTCTATCCTAGATAGAAGGGCCCAACTAGGTTCGAATTGGTGACCTCTTGATCTGCAATCAAATGCCCTAACATTGAGCTATGATCCCATTTTGTATGATCTCAACCTTAGTGACCCCTTCTACAGATTATCGGTCCAAAAGTGACCCTATCGAATCGGCTATGGACCAATTTTGTATAAATTGGTAGATTACCTATCGGGAATTAAACACAAGTCGTTAGATTCAAAGTCGAAAGTGCTAACCACTACACCATAGAACCACTTGTTAAACTTTATTTTTGCAGCGATTTTGATAAGCGCCAACCACGCTGGATTTTGCAAAGCTAGAGGTTGTAGTATGCTTACGGACTTTCACAAGGTGTTTTCAACTTCTTTTATAGGTAATTGAACTTTTGAGTCCATGCAAATGATTGGTTGGATTAGTATCAGTTTGAGAAGACAGAGGAGAGAACAGAGACTTTGTTAGAAACTCTCCCATAGGTAATCTCCCAAGGTGTTTTCAACTTCTTTTATAGAAAGAATTTTAAAATCAAACCACAACAAAATTTACTTCTTTCTCTAAAACTAAATTTGACTCTCCAATAGATCTTAATAGTTTTGTTAATTAAATTTTCTTTAAAATTTTTGTACAGAGTACAATGGAAATAATATATATATATATATATATATTTTTACAATTTTGTAATTTTTATGGTACTATTCGAGGCTTTTGATTGAAATATGATAATTGATTCTCTGTCCTCTTTGACAATTTTAGATACCTTCATATCCGATATTTGATGCGTCGCGTTTCATTATGAGATCTGCCCTTAGGTCAATAAGACTTAAGTAGAGAGTTTATTTGACTAATGATTTGATTTTTTTTGGGTGGTAGAGATCTCCCTTACAAATCATTTTTATAAAACCTTATTCAAAGGTTTGTAGTTAATTACCAATATCAGAATTTCTGGTTTCTTTTCACCATGTTGTTAACCTAAAATGTCAGACATGACCACCTGCTCTTTGAAGACCTTATCAGCTTCCTCTGCAAAATATCACCTAAAATGTCACAGTATTTAGTGTTTGATGCTTTTTGACTTAACCCTAAGGTTCTATTTACAGTGAACTTGTGATAATTTTGTCAAATTATATATTTGAATACCTAATACATTAAGATATAATATCTTATTTAAATAATATCAAAATGTGGTAGAATATCATAATGTATGTTTAATTAATATGAATCTCATTCAAATTTCAAATATATATTTTTATTTAATGTTTATGATACACATCAATTATTTTAATATTTAACATATCAAATACGTTAATATGTTTTGATATTATACTTCAAGATTATAGGAACTTTCTCAGAGGATCTGAGAATTACACCGGCCCACAATGCATCTCATGGACGATGCAAAACTATTGTGGTGCTTGAAGGTTTATTGTATAAAAAACTGGTCATCCACAAAAAAATTATGGGAAGACCATTGATGGAATTGAAGCAATCGACGCTCCCCTGTATGGGTTTCCAATCAAAGACCTAATGTTTGATGTTGACTCTTTTGAAGGAAGAGCCACATGATCCAACAACAAGAAACGTGGCGGTATCTCTGAGAACTCTATCACACACATAAAAAAAATGTGTCGAAGACTTAGACATTACACAGAAGATCTGGCTTTCATCGAGGAGACCCGAGTTTGATTCTCGACAATGAAATTTTATTTTCTTATTTCTTTTATTTTATAGTTTCATCTTTTGTCACCAATTATATTTAAACTTTACCTAGGTTTGAGAAGCACTATAATGGATGAGTTTAATAGTATCTTAAATTCAAAAGACTTTTATGAACTTGGTTTGAGAGGCACTATAATGGTCAAGTTCAATAGTATCTTAGATTAAAGACTTTTATGAACTTTGAACCTTTAATAGTGTTATGTCATAGATATTTGGTTCAATTTCAACAAGTGAGGTTGAGGTCATTCAAATGGTTAATGTGATAATTCGGTCATTTTCAAGGTCTCTTTTGTTGAACGCCATCATGGCTGAGATGACTGAGATGAGCACCAGAGTGAGTTTGACAAGGAAGGTCGTAGAGAACCACACCCCGAGCCAAGCTCATGTTGGGCTTAACAAACCGAAAACCCAAAAACACAAACCCTTAAATGGGAATCAGGATGCTAAGGAATTAAAAAAACTTTATTTTTGACGTTGAACAATACTTGAAGGTTATAGGAACTTTCTCATAAGACCTAAGAGTTACGTTGGCCACAATGCATCTCATGGATGGTGGCGCTCGAAGGTGGATGATATAAAAAATGGGTCATGCACCATAAACTCATGGGAAGACCGTTGATGGAATCGATGCAATCGACGCTCCCCTTGATGGGTTGCCAATTAAAGACTTGACGTTTGATGTTGACTCTTTTGAAGAAAAAGCCACACAATCGAACACCTCGAAATGTCGCGGTAGCTCTAAGAACTCTATCATACGACCTGAGGGTTGAGGGCTACAGGAACTTTCTCATACGACCTGAGAGTTACGTTAGCCGCAATGCATCTCATGGACGATGCAAAACTATGGTAGTGCTCGAAGCGACCTGAGAGTTACGTTAGCCGCAATGCATCTCATGGACGATGCAAAACTATGGTAGTGCTCGAAGGTGAATGGTATAAAAATGGGTCATGCACCATCTCATGGACGATGCAAAACTATGGTAGTGCTCGAAGGTGAATGGTATAAAAATGGGTCATGCACCATAAACTCATGGGAAGATCACTATGGTAGTGCTCGAAGGTGAATGGTATAAAAATGGGTCATGCACCATAAACTCATGGGAAGATCGTTGATGGAATCGATGAAGGTGAATGGTATAAAAATGGGTCATGCACCATAAACTCATGGGAAGATCGTTGATGGAATCGATGCAATTGAATGGTATAAAAATGGGTCATGCACCATAAACTCATGGGAAGATCGTTGATGGAATCGATGCAATTGACGCTCCCCTGGATGGGTTGCCAATCAAAGACCTAACATTTGATATTGACTCTTTTGAAGAAAGAGCCACACAATCTCACAGCTTTAAACGTCGCGGTAGCCCTGAGAACTCTAACACACATAGGGAAGGACGTGTCGAAGAGTTAGACATTAAAAAAAAGATTATGCTAAAACTCTTCAGCGATCTGACAAAAGACTTCAGGACATCAACACTAAAAATCCATTGTCGTCCAGCAGTCAAGATATCTAGCTTTCACCCAGGAGACCCGAGTTTGATTCCTGGCAATGGAATATTATTTTCTTATTTCATTTTATTTTACAGTTTCTATCTTAGACTAAAAAGACTTTTATGAACTTTGTACCTTTGTTAGAGTTATGTTATAGATATTTTGTTCAATTTAAAATGGTTAATGCGATAATCCAGTTGTTTTCGAGGTCTCTCTTGTTGAACGACGTCATGGTTGAGATGAGCAGGTGATTCAAATGGTTAATGCGATAATCCAGTCGTTTTCGAGGTCTCTCTTGTTGAACGACATCATTGTTGAGATGAGCACTCGAGTGAGTTTGACAAGTTGGGCTGTAGAGAACCACACCTCAAGCCAAGTTCATGCAGGCTTAACAAACTTAAAATCCAAGAACACAACCCTTTAAATGGAAACCGGGATGCTAAGGAATTAAAAAGCTTTATTTTTTACGTATAACAATACTTGAAGGTTACTGGAACTTGCTCATAGGACCTAAGAGTTACGTTGGTCGCAATACATCTCACGGACGATGCAAAACTATGGTGGCGCTCGAATTTGAATGGTATAAAAAACGGGTCATGCACCATAAACTCATGGGAAGATTGTTGATGGAATCGATGCAATCGACGCTCCTTTGGATGGGTTGCCAATCAAAGACCTGATGTTTGATGTTTACCCTTTTGAAGAAAGAGTCACACGATCGAACAGCTCGAAACGTCGCGGTAATTCTGAGAACTCTATCACACACATGAAAGGACGTGTCAAAGAGTTAGACATTACCCAAAACATCATAGTAAAACTCTTGAGCGATTAGACAAAAGACTTTAGGACAACTACACAAAAAATTCATTGTTGTCCAACGGTTTGGATATTTGGCTTTAATTCTCTGAAATTGAATATTATTTTCTTATTTCTTTTTATTTTATAGTTTCATCTTTTGTCACCAATTATATTTAAACTTTACCTCATTTACAGAGGTACTTTAATGGTCAAGTTCAATAGTATCTTAGATAAAAAACTTTGATGAACATCGTACCTATGTTAGTGTTATGTTATAGATATTTGTTTCAATTTCAACAAGTGGTGTTGAGGTAATTCAAATGGTTAATGCGATAATTCGGCTATTTTCGAGGTCTCTCTTGTTGAACGCCATCATGGTTGAGATGAGCACCCGAGTGAGTTTGACAAGGAGACTCGAATTTAAACTTTACCTACGTTTGAGAGGCACTATAATGGTCAAGTTCAATGGTATTTTAGATTAAAAAGGCTTTTATGAACTTCGTACCTTTGTTAGTGTTACTTTGTACCTTTGTTATTGTTATGTTATAGACATTTGGTCAAGTTCAACAAGCGGGATTGAGGTGATTCAAATGGTTAATGTGATAATCCAGTTGAATAGTTACAGGTTATCTCGAAGGTCTCTTTTATTGGATGCCTACAGGTGCAGTGAACGTGGAGAGATTAAACACGTGACATTGAAATCTTTAGTTTGACACTCTCCCAAATGAACACTGATTCATTATATTTTAAAAAATTAAAAAAGAAATAATAATCAACTAAACCATAAGGTGCAATGAATGCAAATCGAACACAAGACCTTCCAATGATTTTGAAATGAATAGTCAAATTATGCAAATGTGAACCAAGTGCAGTGAAACGTGGATCGAACACGTGACCTTCAGATCTTCAGTCTGACACTCTCCCAACTGAGCTATCCCCGCAATCATTAGAAATGAAAATTCATCAGTAAATATATTTTCGCCGATTCATTGAGATATTAAAAAGAAATAATGACTAATTTTTAGTCAGGTTATGCAAATAGAAACAGGTGCGGTATACGTGGAGATCGAACACATGACCTTCAAATCTTAAATCTCACGCTCACCAAACTGAGCTATCCCCGCTAACATTAAAAATGAAAGTTTTTAAGTAAAGGTATTTCGGCTAATTAATTGAAATTTTAGAAAGAAATGATCACTAATTTTAAATTGAATAGTCAAATTGTGCATCCATGGTTCACGTGGATCGAACACGAGACCTTCAAATCTTCAATCTAACGCTCTCTCAACTAAACTATCCACACTAATGCTAAAAATGAAAATTCATCAGTAAAGGTATTTTCGCTACTTCATTGAAATTTTAAATAGAAATAATCACTAATTTTTAATAAGATATTCAAGTTATCCAACTTGTATAAGGTGCGGTGAACTATAACACGTTAGGTATTTCCGATAATTCATTAAGATTTCAGAAAGGAACAATGACTAATTTTAGATTGAATAGTCGGGTTATGCAACTAGAATCAGGTGGGGTGAACGTGGAGATCAAAACGTGACCTTCAAATCTTCAGTCTAACGCTCTCCCAACAGAGCTATCCCTGCTAATATTAAAAATAAAAATTCATAAGTAAAGGTATTTTCGCTAATTCATTATGTTGAAAAAAGAAATAATCACTAATTTTAGATTGAATAAGCAAGTTATGTTTTTAGATTGTATAGTCAGGTAATAAACTTGTATTAGGTGCGTTGAATGTGGATAAAAACATGTGACCTTCAAATCTTCCGTCTAACAATCTCCCAACTGAGCTACTCTTGCTAACATTAAAAATGAATATTCATCAGTAAAGGTACTGGGTATACTTTTGGAAATTTAACAAAAGGCAATAGTATTAGACCGAGATGCTAGATTTAAATCTCGCTTCTGGAAAATTCAACAAAAGGCATTGGGTACACAGTTATAGTATGACATTCCACCCATAAACAGATGGTCACACAGAAATGCTCAAGCAAATATTGGAAGACATATTGAGGGTATATGTGATGGATTTTGCAGGAAGCTCGGATAAGTACCTATCCCTTATGAAATTCGCTTATAATAATACTTGCCAAGACACCATACAAATGGCCACATACGAGGTTCTTTATGGACGAAGATTTCGATCCCCTATCTTTTCGGAAGAAGGGGGGCAAATGACAACTATTGGGCCAAAGCTAGTGCAAATTACCAACACCGCAGTCCAGAAGATTAAAGCTAGGATACAAACCGCACAAAGCCGAGAGAAAAGCTATGAAGACCTAAGGCGCAAGGACATGGAATTGTTGGTAGGGGATCATATATTCCTAAAGGTAGCACCCCATGAGAAGGGTGCTCAGGTAGGGTAAAAAGGGGAAGCTAAGCCCTAAGTTTATCTGTCCCTTTGAGATATTAGAAAGAATTGGATCTGTGGCCTATAGAATTGGGCAATGCCGAAACTTGTCTGCAGTACATAATATCTTTCATGTATCTGTACTACGGAAGTATACACTAGGGCTATTATTTATAAGAATATTAAGTCATAAATTGGGTAACAAATTATTGTTTTCAACTACACGTCATCTTCAGATTAATGAGCAAACTGAGGTGGTCAATAGAACACTAGTTGCATTGCTTAGGGCTATTTATTTGTAAGAATATTAAGTCTTGGGACGAATGTTTGCTACTAATTGTTCTCTTTTTGAAGTTGCTTACGGATTTAATCCACTTACGCGTCTTGATTTGCTTTCTATTCATTCTAATATTTTTGTGAGTAAAGCAGCCACAAGTAAGGCAAATGGGATCAAAACATTGCATAAAGAGGGGAAGGAGACAATTGAGAAACAAAATTTAAATGTTGCTACAAGAATTAACAAAGGACGGAATCAAATCATTTTTCAAACAAGTAACTGGGTTTGGATACATTTTCGCAATGAGTGATTCCCATCTCAAAGGAAGACAAAGTTACACCCCAGAGGGGATGACCCTTATCAAGTCCTTGAAAGAATTAATAACAATGTATGTAAAATGATCTTCCACGAGAATTTTCAGCACATTCTACTTTCAATGTTGCTGACTTGAGTCCTTTTGATGTAGGTGATGATTTTTTGATTCGAGGACGAATCCTTTTGAAGAGGGGGAAGATGATAAGGATCACGGTGTTCCAAATGTTCCAACTGGACCCATTACACGATCCAAGGCCAAGAAGATTCAACAAGCATTCATTCTTCATCTACAAAAATGGATAGGCTTGGTTCAACTATTATTTCATGTGCTACAAGCTTATTAGATTGAGGAAGGACTATTTGGAGCTTCAGAAGTGAATATTTACACAGTTGAAGGAGAAAATGAAGTTGCAAGCATCATTACATGAGTTGTTAGAAAACTTTATTTATTTTTTATTTCATAAAGTTTGTAATGGTAGAATTGCCAAATTGACTTCGTTCTTTTTTTAGATTTAAGGGGATCGAGATTAAATCCCAGCCACTAAATTTTTTTTGTGGGAGACTATAAATACCCACAAATTATTATGTAAAAATCAGATTTGTGAAGAATGAAATTGATCTCTCAAGTTGAGAAGTTCCCCTTCGAAATCCGAGCATCGCGTGTGAGCCATGCAGTCACGCTTTGACATTGTGTGGTTGAGTGAAATTCTCAACCTTCTACTTATTTTTGGGATTTCTTTTCTCCTTGTAATTTATTCTTGTACGGAATGTATTAAGCACATGGATTTATTAATTACGGTGCACTTTTGTATAAAACGAAGTAAACACAAATGGAGTAACATGAGATAGAAGTAAACATAGTAATAAAAAGAAACTACATAAACTTAAAGGAAGTGAATCCCATTTTAGAATATAAATATTGTTCAATTGTAGCAAAGAAGTAGTTTTGAAAACTAGCCACTCCATATCAATCTATGTTTGGAAAACTAAAATAAAGAAAAAATAAATAAATAAAAATATTTTTCAAAAACTTAATTGGGTGTGAAATTTTGCTTAAAATTCAAATGTTTTCATTTCTTTTCTTTTTCTTTTCTTTTTTTTTATAAAAGGATAAAACACATAATTTTGAAATAAAACAAAAAAATAAAATAGTTATCAAATGGGCCTAATTTTTAACATATCTATCCCAAAGTGATGCATGGGCTCTAGTGGCAATGCTGCTTCAACTGTGTGATAGACCATGTGAAGTTAACATGACAATAATAGCAGGTTCTAAAGCACAAAAATATGTGGATAAATTTCATATACTGAGGTTGGATAAATTTCATATATTGAGGTGCGGAAAACATATACACACGGGAAACTAAAAATGATAGATCCACTATAAGGGCATTTGGTCTAGTGGTATAATTTTTCTTTTACAAATTAGGTGGAATGAACAAACAAAAATAATGAGTTTAAAATTACCAAACAAAATATCAATTTTTAAATGGAATGGAGACATAAGACCATTCTAAAAAACAAAAGGACAAAAGAAAAATATTAAGTACATTTTCAACTAATGCATTTGGTTGAGAGATATTATGGCCAATATAAGGAAAATATAGCATTAACTAATTTTCATGGACACATATGGATCCTTAGCATACTCAAATGACTGTTATTATTGGTATCAAACCAATAACAATTCATATCAGCTAAATCTTCCAATTGATAATTAGGCCAGAGAAAGAACTTGAATTTATTTTTATATCTATCAACATGTTTGCTACTTTTATCTAAAACTTGATCACGAGTTTTTCTTATTTGCATTGTAAAATTATGTATTTATATGGATATTATTTCTATTTCTAGAATTGAAATAAAAAACATGTGGATAAATTTCAAATATTGAGGCGCATAAAAGATAGATCCACTACAAGGCATTTGGTTTAGTGGTATGATTCTCGCTTCGGGTGCAAGAGGTCTCAAGTTTGATTCTCAAAATGCCCCCAACAATTATATCAAATTGAAGCATGCAAAATAAAAAGATTTGAAATAGGTTTTTTAAACCTCGAACCAAGAAGTAATTCAAATGGATATTTGGAAAAAAAAAAAAAGGAAACTATATTTAATTATAATTTACAAGTGTCTTTATAACATGTTAATTGAAGAGAGAAAACAACAAGAATAAACAAACAAAGGAAATTTGTGTATGTATGATTCTCTTCAAATTTTGGAAACTATGAGGATTCCTCTCCTTTCTTGACATAAAGACTTACTTTTTCGGGACTTGGACCATAAACAGTCATCTACTCTTACTCCTACTCCCTTCTCTAAGAATCAACATAGCATAATCATTCCATGAAGGCCNNNAAACAACAAGAATAAACAAACAAAGGAAATTTGTGTATGTATGATTCTCTTCAAATTTTGGAAACTATGAGGATTCCTCTCCTTTCTTGACATAAAGACTTACTTTTTCGGGACTTGGACCATAAACAGTCATCTACTCTTACTCCTACTCCCTTCTCTAAGAATCAACATAGCATAATCATTCCATGAAGGCCAAGGCAGTCTTATAAAAGAAGATGAGGGTACCCTTTCAAATCATTCCATGAGGACTTGAGAAAATTTTGTAAAAGAAGATGAGGGTTCCACTTTCTATTGCAGAATTTCTATGTGAATAGAGAATGAACCATATTCTTTGGAGATAAGATTGAGCCTCGAGCCTAACTTCAAAGGCGTTACACAAATTGTTCTATGATATTTTTTCTAGGAACTCTTTGTTATGTTGTCCGCTAAAGGTGTCAGGAAAGGGACACAGATTCTCTATTGCACTGATCTCCCAATAGTAGTTTTACCCTGGTCATCTGTCGTCACAACCCTTTTAAGAAAAATGTGCCCAAATAACCAGTGAACAATAACATTTAAAGAAGTTTCAGAGAGCGAGAAGAGAATTGTGATAGAAGTTGCCCTAGGTAAAAGTTCTTTAAATGTCTTAG